TGTGAGAGGCCTGTTGGCTTCCCCCAAGTGGGTGTCCAGGTGGGGGGAACGGTTTCTGCCTCACATTCTCCTGTCACCCGTTCTTATACTTCACTTGCTGCTGTCTCTTTCTCCTCCTTCCCTTGCTGCCTGCCCCGTGCACACTTCCTAGACAGAAAGGCCTCAGTGTTCCTGAAAGCAACAGGCCCTGGCATTGCCCAGCCTGTGCCCAGCTCCCCTTCCTCTCCCTGCTCGGCCTTCCACCTGTGCGACTCTGCTCGCCATGCCATCGTGCATGGCAGCCCCAGGCACCAGCTTCCTCCTCCCAGGCAGCCGGCACAGCAGCCCTGTGGCTGGGGGCTGCCCTGGCCGCCTATTTTTGGATGTGGGTTTTTCTTGGTTTGGGGGTTTGGGGGTGGGGTGTTGGGTTATGACACGTGCCAGCTAGATGTGAAAGCTTAGCAGGGCTAATGGGGAGGTGTGATGGATGCCCCCGTTCTGACTGAGTGAGCAGTACTTTGGTTCAGGCATCACCGACAAGCAGGCCTGACTGGTGCCATGCAAACTGTGAGAACTGTGCTACGCTGCATCTTCTCAGGCACCAAGAAGTCTAGGCCACGTCTTATCAGGAGATAACAGCACCAGCCAGAGCTGAGACTAGACAAAACTAAAACTGCCACAGCTGCGCAAACACCAAAGGAGAGGGGTTGGACTACGGGTCCATCACTTTACGCTATAAATGCCTGTAGCCTCCCCAAGCCCATTAAGCTTTCCAGTACTGGAAAGTTGCACGGCAGCGATCACCCCCTGGAGGAGAGAAGCCTCACAAGCTTACTTCTCGAGGCTGAGACACCCTTTACCCAGCATCTGACACCTACAGCAAGGTAAGTGACGTTTCACATTCAGTGTAAAAGTATATTGCTAGCGACATCTTTATATATATATATTTATACAGCTATAGCTTAATTATTTAATTATTTAAAGTGTGGTGAGAGAGTGTTTGCTGCCTAAATTATTGTTTAAATCATTGCTTAAATAATTGTCAAATCACTGTTTAATTACTACTCAGTTATCGTTTAACCACTATTTTCATTCAATCATCAATTAATTATCACTTGATCATTGTTTAATCGTTAATAACCCCCTTTTAGTTAACCCCACAACAATGACTTCTTTTAATAATTTGCCTGTGATGGGGGGCTAGCCCAGCTGGCTGTATGTTGGGGGGTACAGCACCTTTAGGCTTCAGTGGAAAGGCAGGATCTTGCATGTTCTCTGTGGCAGAAAGTCTAGGGCCTTTCCACTTTTCCTTCTTCTGCAGCTTTTACATTCTGGGTTGAGTATGGCTCTTGTGACTTAGTCCCAGTAGTCTGGTGGGGAAACTGGTGTGATGGACCTACCAGCACTGGTATAAAAGGCATGTCGGGGAAGTACTCGTGGGCTGGTCGTTGCTGCAGGGCCTGGCAGCTGTTGCCATTGCACAGGGAGACTTTGTCCATAGGGTTTGAGGGACATCTCGAAGGAATGCTGGTGTCTGCCCTGGTGCCTGTACTCACTTTGGGTGTCCTGCTCAGATGCTGTGCCCAGAGGAACCAGATGTCCTGATAGATAAGGACCTGCTTGACTTCCTCCTGAAGGATGATGCTCCCTGCCCTGAAATCCTAGAGAAGGAGAATGGTCTGCTGGAAGACTGGAGCACACCGGAGCCTGAGGTGAGTTTTTTGGGAGGAATTGCTGCAGGGTTGTGGTTCAGGAGATTTGGGTCCCTGCTGAGTAAAAGCTTTTTTCTCTGCAGCTCCTGGTCAAGGAGATGGATGAGTTCATCAGCTTCATGCTGAAACGCTTTGAAGACAAGCCAGGCATGCTGCAGGGTTATTTGCCTGCTGACAGTGACAACGGCATTTGTACGAATCAGTTTCTGTCCTATAGCCCCGGCATCGACTTTGCTGGCAGCCTTTGGAGCCCAGACGTTGTGCAGGTTGATCACAACTATTCCCTCCATCAGGATTTTCCTATGCTGGAAAGCGTGAAATCTGAAATAGCAGAAGGAAATGTTTCCACTGACCTTGGTAAGTGATCTGTGTGGGCTCTTTCTGTCCTGGGTACAGGCAGAAAAGCAGTCCCACATTGGGGTTTTTTGGGTGGGTGCCAGGCAGTGATGGAGAGAGCCGAATTTAGTGGCTTTCTGCTGCCGTAAAATTGTGGTTTCATGCTCAAAGCTGGCTGTTCAGGTGCTGCCTTACTAAGGCCCAGCACTTGACTCTCCTTTCCTTCCCCAGGGACATGGATGGGTTTGGAAGGCACAAGCAAGGCAATGGAACTGAGCTCCAGTTTTCCCATTGCTGTTGCTGTGGAGGCCGAACCTCAGCTTGTGCCTGGAGCCATCATGCAGGTACTGACTGCCATGAGTCTGGGCCCCAGCCTTTGCTTCTAGTCACATCTCCCCTTCTCTCCTGGCTTGGCTCCTGTGGGGGATATCTCTGAGGAAAGTGTGATGCTGCTTTGGGAGAGCTGATCCCGGTTCTGTGTGCTTTCTGCATGGCGTCTCTGCCCTCCCTTTACTTCGCATTCTCTGCACATGTATTTTTGCTGTTTTCTAATCTGACTTTCCAGTCCGGTTAGGGGAGGAGAGGCAGCTCCTGGAGAAAGAAGGTGTTTCATTACCAACCTCTCTGCCACTGACCAAAGTGAGTCCTCGCTATAGCCTGTCACTCCCAAACAGACTTGGACCACTCAAACGCTTCAGTCAGAGTAGTTCAAAAATACAGGATGCTGCCCTGATGAGAGCATTGGTACCCAGGTGCTGTGTTCAGAGCAGTGTGCGGCAGGGCTGGGTGTCCTCCTCCTTTCGAGGCTTGGAGGGTGTCCATGTGCACAGCAGCATCTGCTTTGCTAATCATATAGCTCTGAAGAGCAGTGAGACCAGGCTTCTGTTGATCTCCCCACTTGTGACCACTTGCAGGGAGGTAGTTACACCATAAGTGCCTCCAACATTTTTTCCCTCTTGCCTAGTGGCTTGTGAGCTGCATGCCTGTCACCTCCCTTAGGTGTGCCTCACTTTTGCTACACTGGGGAAGCTGCTGGCCGCATCAGCAGGCCAGAGTTTGCCTTGCAGCTCCTGCAGTTCATTTAGTGGTGTGGGAGGGACAGAGGGCTGAGTGCTGAGATGTGTGCAGGATTTGTGAGGGCTGGATTGCAAATGCCCTGGCATTGCTGCTAATGAGAAATGACCCTTGCAGACTGAAGAGCGGCTTCTGAAGAAAGTGCGTCGGAAGATCCGGAACAAGCCATCAGCCCTGGGTAATCGTCGCAGGAAGAAGATGTACATCGATGGCTTGAAACACAGGTACGGGCACGCAGCAGTGTCACCCAATGCTGAGGGCATAGACAAGGTCTTCAAGGGATCCTTGGCAGAATGATGGCAGAACTAAGTCATAGTTTCACTTCTTAACTTATAATTTCTAATCACCTAGATCCTAATACAACTTAACTTATGATTTCTAATCACCTGGACCCTCTGCAGATTTGGTCAGATCTTAACACATGCTTTGCTGCATCAATATAATGATCATAATCTATAGTCAAAAATGATATAAAGGAATATGACTCATGGGAGCAAGCAGACAATGGTAGAGGTGCCCCTAGCGAGTTGGGGGGGGGTGGTGGTCCTGGGTCTCACTGTCCAGCAGCGGCTCTGGTCCAAGTTTCCGTTAGGACTTGTAACTGCTTGATTTTATGGACAGTGCTGTGTGTGCTGTTACGCTTCCCTGCTCTGCAACAGGGTCATCCACTGTACTGGGCTGGCCGGGTGCCTGGGGCCTTCAAGGCTGGTAAGGAAGGGAGTAGCCAGCCTGGCGCCCAGGAACCTTGAGGCCGGTAGGGAGGGGAAGAAGAAATCTGTTTGGTTCGTCTACTTAGTGTACAGGACCTTCAGGGCCTGATAATGAGGGGAAGGGAATGAATACATGACCCGCTCAGTCACAGAGGATGGCTGCTCGCCTGATAACATGGCGTTAGCTGTGCTAACCACAGTGCGGGAGCAGGGGGGACTGGTCACAAGCAGCTGTGCTGTGTCACTGCTGGGGTCTCGCCACCCTGGGCAGAAAGCAGAGCTGACCCTGTGGTACAGCAGCTCTCCGTAGGGGGCTCAGAAGCTCAGGTCATAGCCTGTCCTGCTCTCTGACACTTGGAGATGCCCCAGAGCTAGCGCTGTTCGAACCAGCTGCTGGCCTGCCAGGTCCAGCATGTTTCCCAGGTCAGGTTAGTTTGCAATACAACCTTGCATTGTGGATCTGCAGGGCCAGTGTACTGTTAGGAGCGAGCATCCTTAGGGATTAGTCTGGTGATTCTCTGCAGGACTGAGTAGGGCTCACCCCTCCCCAAACCTGATGTGAGATGTGACTTTCTTGGCCCTTGCTCCAGGTGGTGCCAGGCAGACCCCAGGAGCAATTGTATCTGTCCCAGCCACCCAGAGGTGGTGGCTGATTACCTGAGGGGACACTGTGGTGAAGTCCCTGCAGCTGACAAAAAAAACCCCCTCTCTTCCCCTCCGCGTCCCCTCCCCCCTCCATGTTGTTCGTCTTTCCCGGGAAGGGTGGCAGCCTACACGGCTCAGAACCGTGAGTTGGAGAAGAAGGTGCAGCTGTTGCAGAAGCGGAACATGTGAGTTTCTCATTGTTGGACGTGGCAGGAGACATGGTGGGGAAGGCTGTTCCTCTTCTTGGGATTGTGGTCTGTCCCTGACTGCGAAGGGGGAGGAGGGGAGCATGCAGCTCTTGGTTCAGCTGCTGTGTTAACCTGCATTGCCTGTTCTCCTGCAGGTCGCTGCTCAAGCAGTTGAGGAGACTGCAGGCCTTGGTGAGACAGTCCACTGCAAAAACTACCACAGCAAAAACCTGCACTATGGTGAGTGGCTTCAGCCCCCATGTCTGTGAAGGGATCTGTGCTGTCCTTGTAAGTTTGGAAGAAGGGCATTTATTGCAGTCAGTGATGCGTGTCCATGTCCTTTGCTGAGGTCTTTGCTGATCTTTCTGTTTCCAGGCTATGGTTCTGTCCTTCTGCCTTGTTGTGTCCCCCAGCATCTGCTTGTTTGACAGCCAGGAACAGCAGATGAAGCTCGGAGGTGAGTGCCTAGATCCAGTCCCTCATGAAGCACAAGCTGTGCTTGTGCCTGGCAGCTGTGCAGCATCCTCTCCCTGGCTCCCCTGGGAGGAGGCAGCCCTAGTTGAACAGTTTGTTCCCTTCTTGTGGTCACTGTGTTGGCCCGTGCTCAGAGCAGGACGGTGAGAGGCTGGGAATGACGGCACTGGCTCTACCTCTCTTGCAGTGCTGTCACAGCAGATTGGCCAGTTCCCAAACCAAGCAGTATGTGATGTGCAAGAGAATGCTGCGCTGGAGGGGTTCACCCTGGAGCCTGAGGACACCTCACTGTCAGACAGCCTCACTGAATCACAGGAAGAGGGGCACAGTACATCCAACCCTGATCCAGGACCTTCTTTCAACGACAACTCATGCTCTGACCCTCCTGTGGCAGCAGCGTGCTTTGAGCTGTGCCCTGCCCAGTTTCAGGAGCAGTACTTCCAGGTCAACCCTTTGCAGACAGCAGTGCTGTTGGAGTGGGACGCCAAGAGGCAGGAGTGGGTGGAACACACTGCCACAGTTGTCGTCCAGCACGACTGTGCTGATGAGATGTGACCACCTCCTGCTGCTTGGGGTGACACCAGGCACTCTGCCAGGCAGTGACAAACAGAGCTGCAGTAACAGATGATCTATCGAAGTAGATTCTTCTGAATACTCTCCCTATTGCTGGCAGCTCAGAGGGTTTACCAGGGAGGAACCATTTTAAGATTGACCTGTTCTGATTCTCTATTCTGTATATCTATAGCAGGACTCTATCTGAGATGGGGTAGAAAACTGGGAACTTTGCTGTGGCTACTGACATGGGGTGTGTCCTGTGGCTCTCAGGGATGGGTTGTGGCGTGGAGGGCAAAGGGCAGCTGGTGGCCATGCTTGGTCTGGCTCGATGCAGTTGGTCATGGAGGCTGCTGCCCTCTGTCTTCCCTGCCCAGGTGGAGGTGAACTGATTGGGTTCTTACTGTGTCTGGTAGCGACAAGCACCTGTCCCTTGTCCCTTTCCCTTAATCCTGTAGTGTTGCTTGATTTATATGTGTGACATAGCAAGCTGATCTTCAGTGCTTTCACAGGGAGTGGTCCTGCCATTGCGACAGGCCCTGTGTGTCACCTGTTCCTGCTCGCTTTTGAGCCACGAGCACAGCTCCTGGCCTGGCTAGAGAAGGTAAGGCGGAGTCCTTTCCAAGCTGTGTGTGGTTTCCCTTTCGCAGGGGCTGAGCCTTCTATCTCCCACAGCCTTGGGAGTGTGTCTTCTGGGCCTTGGGGAGAAGGCATGCCTTGAACCAGACTGCTGAGGAGGCATGGAGCAGAGAGCAGCAGAGCTGCTTGCTGTTCTGAAGGCTTTCCTGGCCACAGGACAGTTTCAAAGTTATGTCCTCCTGTGCCTGAGCTTTACTGCGCTGGCTGATGGTGCTGGCTCTGGTTGTTCCTCAGGGCTGAGCAGAATCACTTTGAGCTTGTGAAGGGTGTCTCCTGGAGTGCAGCTTAGTGGTACCTGTTAAGCATCTCTCCTCGTCCTACTTCAGGACAGTTCGTAGAATTGAGTAGAATGGTTTGCGTTGGGAGGGACCTCTAAAGGTCATCTAGTCTAACTCCACTGCAATGAGAGGGATATCTACAACTATATCAGAATAATAATTAGTAATTTCCTTATTAATAAATAAATAGAACAATGTGTGACTGTATCCTCTGTCTTTTTTTTCGGTGAGGGTCTGGGCTGCTGGGTGGAGGCTGGGGGCTGCGCCAGGGGCTGGGAGCCTTGTGGGAAGAACTGGGGGGGCTGGGGGGTGATCACCCTTGCAGCCTAACCAAGGGGAACGTGCGCTGCCTTCTCATGGCTGTGGCTGTGTGGAGGGGCTTGATGAGGCACGGTGCAAATTTGCTGCACGGTTGCTCTGCTCTCACCCCCCTTTGAGGGTGCGAAAACACTCTTGAACCACTTTTAGAGACAAGTGGATGTTGTCAGCACCCAGCGCCCACGTATGACCTGCACGCACCCAAGGCGCTGCGGAAGCGAGCAGCTTCCCTGGTAGGAAGCATGGGGAGCCGGTGTCTGCCCTCACCGCTACTTTTGTAACGGGGAGCTGCACAATTGCAGGAAGCAGAGCAAAGCCAGGGTGGTGCAACAGCCCTGTCCCCTCGGCCAGGGGCCACGGAGGGGGCCCTGCCTGCTGGGTGGTTGCTAAATCAGGGCTGTGCCCTGGGTTCGATTGGGATCGCTGGGTCCACGGAGGCACTAGCAGACCCTGAGCTCAGGGTGCGCAGCCCATTGTGGCATTTGGGGGGTGGCGGGAGCCCGGTGAGGCGATGGGTGCAGGCAGCACCACGCTTGCAACCCACCCGGGAGCAGAGGGTGCTTGTGCCGGTGAGTGAGATATAAAATTGCATGTTGTGTCTCTGCCTGAGGACAAGAGACAGCCGGGGGGGGTCTCACCAACAGCCCCTGCCCCAGGACAGGCGGCAGTGTTCTCGTGACAGGATCAGGTCACAGGTCTGCGCTGCTGAGGCCAGGCAGCCCACAAGCATCCCCAGGGAAACACTGGACCTTTTCCCCAGGAGCCGTGCGTGGTGGCAGAAAGGCCTAGGACCCCCTCCTCCCTTTCTTTGCTTTTCTTTTTTTTTTTTTTTTTTTCCAGTTCAAGGGCAGGGTGTGCAATGCTACTGATGTCACTTGGAGTCCCTGGCCCAGCACTAATCCAAATAAAACACAGTGGTGTTGGCAGCAAAGCAGGGAGCAGCCGCTGGAGCTGTTGTTTGGCCGGGGTGGTGGCGTCAGCCCCACTGTCCACAGCGGACTGGCTTGGCCAAATGTCAGGAGGGAAGACAGCTCCGGGAGAGCGGGCAGGGAGCCAGGTAAGCGCAACGGGTTCCTCGTCAAACACAGCCACACGCATGCGGTCCTGCTGCCAGGTGCTGCCCGCAGCAGCCAGCCCAGCCCTTACACGCGCAAAGCTTGCGGCAGAGGCTGGGATATGTCAGAGCCCAGAGCTGGTCCCAGTACTGCGCTGGGGATGTGGCTGTGCTGGGAGTTTTAGGGAGGATTGCTCTGCAGTCTCAGCCTGTGCTCCCCCAGGGCTGCTGGTTTTCATCGCTTTCTGTGTTTTTGTGTGGGTCCCACAGTAAGCAGCTCTGACCTGACGAGAGGAAGGAAGTCCAGCCTGGGCCTCACACCTTGGGTTAAAGGGCAGCAATGACAAAAAAGCCCAAAATAAGTCCTTTGGCCGAGCAGGCTTGTACCTTGTTTCCATCAGGCAGAGGAATCAGAGGACCCTCATATTTCTGCCACCCTCCTCCTCCTCCTTGCTGCAGACCCTCCATGACATCTATTTCCCTTGCACACCACAGGGATCAGGCTCTGTGTGCATCTGTGCTGCCTGCACGCACACACAGCCCCGCACTCTGGCTTAGGTCGGTGTTACGGCTCCTGCTTGCCCTCCCCGTCATGTTCCCTCTGTTATTTCCAAAGTTGACCTGCATCCCACACATGTCCCACCAGGTGCCTTCATCAGCATCATGGGAGCGCACCCATCAGCATCATGGGAGTGCATTTGGTGTTGCTGAATGGAAACACTCTGTTTTGCTGAGTGCAGTCTGTATTGAAAGTTTTGAAAGTATGAGAGGAAATTTGCGTCCTATTGCCAAGGAGAGCCTGGGCTGTGTGGCTGGTACAAAACACCTCCTGCTCACGGCTTTAAAGGAATCAGGTTTTCCTCTTTTTTTTTAAGGAATCAGGGTTTCTTGGAGAGGCGGGAATTTAATTCAGTAACAGAAATAATGCATACCCTCCTTTTCAAGGGAAACGTAAACCCTGCGTCAGCATCCATCCTATTTTTATCCACTAGCACCAGCTGCTGGATATTGGTGGAAATGTAAAAGCTAGCAGAAATCTGAGTGCCAGGTTAAAAAAGCAGCTGCAAATACAGCGATGGAGCCACCACCTTCCCCCAGCTCCTGCATCCTGGCATCTCAGCCCCAGAGCTGCTGAACCCCCAGGGGAGGTGGGACTGGTTTGGCAAGTGTCTGAGGCAGAAAGCAGAGAGATCGGGCTGGGATACCCAAAAAAAAATACAAGCTAGTGCCAGATGTGTTCTTCCCTTTGTCCCCCTCCCTGGCCACACGTGATGCAGCAGGGGCTTGGCTGGAGACCCCCATGTATGTATTGCTTAGGGGACATGGCCATGCTGAGGGGTCTCTCTTGGGACAGGCTGTTTGGGAGCTTTCCAAACTCCTGGGGCGGTTGGCAGCCGGCCGGCCCCGCGCACCCC